AATGAATTCTAATAATAATACTTTAACCTTATCATGACGTTTCAATTCTGTAGAAATGCTTTGAAGAATGTTACAATTCAACTCGATCTACACTGTATAGATTGTCGCATAGATACGGTCGAATTCGAGTTAGATCATTGTTTCACTTAGAAAAATCGACAATTTTTCCAGCTTTTATTTTACTCATTCGAAAAATAAATGAGCTAATACTTATAAGCTCATATCATTTATTTATATAATAAACAATTTCATAATTCATATGAAACAATTACAAGAGTTTATGATTATTTTTGATAAATTATGAGAAAAATTCTTGAAATATAATTCAATTCTTCTATTAATTTATAATGAAATAGCTTGAATATTTTAACTATTGAAAAGTTCCTGCTGCGACACCACATGTAAACATTGAACCGCGACGCTGCCGCGCCACCGCCACTGCATAAAAAAATTTTACGAAATGATTTTTTCATAAAAATAGGTAAAATAGAGGATATTGAGTTAATCCTTCTTCTTGGATGAAATACTAATGTAAACAGAAATGAGAAATAGCAAAATTTGTTTACAAAAAAAAGCAGGTTCATTTTTTTATAGGGACCAGAGATGTTCATGGACTCTGAAAATCTGCCGCTGCCGCGATAAGATTTTGAAAAACGTGCCGCCATGGACATCTCTGATTCGAACCATACATGCAGATTTTATTACTAAGTATGACATGTACTTTTTTAGTGCATAGCATTATTAATGTAACTACCTTTCAAATCAAAAAGATTATAAGTAGACAATAATGTATCAATGGCATATTTTATGTTGATGATTGACCTGTCATCGGAAAAAAAAATATTCTTTAACACTATATTTCGAAGAGAATATGATTTATGTTCAATCAATTTAACGATTGTTACTTAAACAGTTAGTTATTAATTAATTTGGTTTGTAAATATATTTAAAAATAGAACCAGTGCAAAAATAAAAAGAAGAAAAGGTTATAAAATGAATCGCTTTTGTTTTTCTTGGATTACTCGGCATATATGTTATTATTGTTCTGACCTATTATTGTTAACCTTTTTATTGTTGATTATTTACAACAAAGGAAAAAAAACTTCTAAACTTCTTCGCTGATCTTTTTTTTCTTTATCTACCACAATATATACATATTTAATGTTTTTCAAATAAAAATAAAATATTTTGCGTTAAGAATATTTAACGTATTTGTAAAAATGAAAATCATACAAGTTTCTCAACATGAAAGCATATAATATATTAGATAAAGAGATTATGGAAGAAGATCATGAAATAAACAGAAATAATAAAACTCGAATAAAGAAAGATGTTTTTCATAATTAATATGAAGATATACAATTGTATGCACTAAGTACAAACAACATCCTAGAGATAAACAATAAAGAAATCAAAGATAATCAAACAATTTGAGAACGTCATGTTTTATTAAGAATTTTAATAATTCTATTCAAATATTATTAATAATTGGTCAATCGAATGAAATTCATTCTCAGTTAATGCATATATATTTGCTTAGACGAACCAACAATATCTTTAGAATTATGAACTTAATTATATAAATGAACTAAATAAATAAAAGATATCATTTATATTTAAAATGATTCTTCGAAAAATATTATATACTAACGGATGATTTACAATCGATTACAAAAATTCATTTTAAAAACTAGAGCACAACACAAATCAATAAAGTTTAATCAATTCAATAAACTATTTGATACTTGATGTATCGAAGTAGAAAATAATTCACATAGAACAACATTAAAATGCAACTGTCCAACTTTTTACAATAATTCTATATGCAAATATATCGTGAGTATGACTATTAGTTTTATATATTGTAGACGATCATTATCAGCAGTAAAGACAGTGCCGATTGATAAGAAAAAAGAAAGAGAAAGAGTATCAAAGGTTAAATCTGGTTTATTCTTACAATAATTCAATTTTCATTCTGATTTATTTTCTTTTTCGTTTATTTTTTTTTTGTACTGTTTAATAACGTTTACTTTTATTTAATAAACTAATCAGTTAAATGACAGTCTATTTTCAAATAATCTAAATCGTTTGAAATTATTTAAATTAATAGAATTTATTATTCAACTGGTATAATTTGATGAAATATGTTGGAAAAACAATTATCAATGAAAATATCTATACTGAATATTATTTATAAAGCAATTATATTGAAACAAAACAAAACAAAAAAAGACGAATAAAATATTGATAATAGATAAATGTGTATACAACATAAACAATTGTTTATATTTCGAAAGTATATTAATTATGAATAAAAATTATTTTATATCGATGAAAAAGATCAAGAATTTGTTGAGTAAGACTTTTTCGAAATAATTTACTTGTTAATGTATTAATATAAAATGTTTTTGAATAATTCATATAATAAAACCATCTTGCTATAAAACTAAATATAATATACATAAGAAGTTGAAAAAGATCTTTTGGTATTTGATTAAAAAAACCAAATAGATAAATAATCATATATGGAATATTTAATATTATTGTTAATAAAACTTGAACTAATAACATTGTTAACATATGAGAATTTCTTCGATTTTGAACAATTATTATTGGAGTTATAGATGATATTTGACCAGCTGTTATTCTATTACTTCTACTATTTGTTTGAGGAAGAATTCGGGATCGACTTCGTTTCATATTATAATATATTAATAAACCAAATATACATAAAAAAAATGGTGTTATAGCTCCTTTATATAATGAAAAAAAAAATCCATCAATTATAATATATGTTGTAGGTGAACCTATTTCAACTGAACATCGTGTTATATTTGTTAATGGATCTCGAATACGATTGTAACCAATTGGTATATGTAAAGAAAATAAAAGCCATATGATTAAAATAATAAACACTATAATACGACTTATTTTAATATTACTCAATTTTCGAATTGTTTGATTTAATGAACTAATACAATATCTATCGATTGATGCAAATACTATATAACTTGATGATAAACAAGGAAGTATAAACATAATATAATTTCCAAATTTACACCAAATACTTGTTGAATAAATATGATCTGATAAAGGTTTATTAAATGTTGTTATAATTTCCATAAGAATAAATACATTCATTATAAAAAAATCAACAATTGAAACTGATAAGAAATAAAATGAACATGAATTATTTCGAATTTGTTTTTGAATAAATGTTATTATATTTAATATAGATCCAATTATTCCAATAATATAAAGTATAACAATCATATATCTATCCATTCGTAAAAGAATTTCAGATACTTGAATAATATCACTCATCGAAACAGTTATTGTTAACATTATGTCACACTTTTTTATTGATGAATGCCTAAAACAAAACAAAAAAGATGCAAGTATAAATCGGTTTTTCTTAAACAAAGATCCGTTTAGTGCATAATAACAACTGACTTACTTATTATAATAGGATAAAGAAAGTAATTACATAGAATAAATTCGAATTACTAACAATATCATATATCTTTAAAAGATTAAAAGATAGATATAGATCAAAATAAAACATATTATGTGACAACATCCTACTGTAATAACAAACGTTCTTTCTTTTTTTTTTGTTTTTTTTCTCAAAATCTCTCTAATAAATACTGATATATTATTTTAAAACGAACTAGTTAGTGCAACTCTTTTGAAATTGATCTGTGTAACTGATGTAATTCGTATTATCTAGTATATCATAGAAATATAAGTTTGTTTTTTTACGTCATGATATATACTTTAAAGTTTGAAACAAGTCAAATGAATCAATGAAAGATTTTTACTTTTTCTTTTTATTGATAGTAATAATCATTTCTGTCACTAAATATGAAAATATTTTGTTTTAATAATCATATTCAATATAATAAAGTTCTTATGGGTTATTCAATGTATAAAACTAAATAGAATGTTGATTAGTGAATAATCAGGAATAAATTTTATGTTTCATCAAATAACAACATTATTGTTTTTAGTATACTCAAAAAGCGAGTACACTACTAAAATCGGTCTGTGTGTCCGGCCGTTTACACGATAACTTTCGAAAAGAGAGTCAGATTGCAATGAAATTTTCTACATAGCTTAGTCTTGACAATATCTCGGTCGAGTTCGAAGATGAGAAGGATTCGTCAAGAAATGGCTGAGTTATCGAAAAAATTGTGATTTTTGACCAGACCATTCCTGAGGGGCGGTACGGGGATTTTTTGAAAAAAAAATTTTTTGCTCACTCTTCGAAAATGTAAATCAATTCTAGAAAATATATCGTACTATTAATAAAATACTTTATTTGATATAATTATACCTGAGTATATGTTTATTCAATATAAACAGTGGGTCGTTAGAAGTTGAATCTTTTTTACATATAGATTAGTATTTACTTTAATTGATTTCTTTATTTAGAACTGGTGTTGAATTCGTTCAATTAGTAACAAAATCAGATATCTTAGATTATATTTAAAACCAAAATCAATTTAATATAAGATTATACCTAATTAAGAATGTAAACATTGTTTTCAACCGATGGATTTAGACGTGCTTTATCGAAGAAAAAAAAAATACTCAGTAAACTAACATTGAACTGTCAATGTCTTGATATTTATTATTCAAGTAAACATGTCCTACTTTTATAAGAATTTTCTTATACTTATTATTTGCTTAGGCTATAACAATATATCATGTGTATATTACATTAATAGAAACATTAAATTTTTTTTTTTAATATTAATCATAGTTAGTAATTTTAATATGAAGAATATCGTTTCATTATGATATTGTTTAGTTTTTGTTGACTTATTTCAATCATAATTTTATTTGATCTATTGAAAATTTTCTTTTAACAATAATAAATTTCTATATCATCTTAGAGAATATCTTATTTAAATTAGATGATAAAAATAAATAGAAAAGATTTTTTTTGTACATTTTATTACAATTAAAAAAAAATTTTAAAATAAAAATAGTTGATTCTATTGATTATTTGTATTAAAAGGAATAATTGTTCTTGTTATAGCATTTAATCTATTATGGGGATAAATTCGAATAAATTGTTTTCTAAGACTATTTCGAAATAATTCACTTGTTAATGTATTTATATAAAATGTTTTACAATAATTCATATAATAAAACCATCTTGCAATAAAACTAAATATAATATAAAGAAAAAGATGCAATGGATCGAATGATAATCGTCTATAAAAAGTTGATAAATAAACTATTATATATGGTGTATTAAAAATAACTGTAAGAAGTACTTGAACTAATAACATTATAATCATATGTGAATTTTGTCGACTTACAATAATTCTTGTTCGATTAAGTATATTGTTATTTCCTCTGTATGATTGAAAATGAACTCGTTGTCGACTTACTTTAATATTATAAAATATTAATAAACCAAATATAGACAAAATAAATGGAATAATAGCTCCATTAAATAATGCAAAGAAAAATCCATCGATAACAATAAAAACAGTTGCTGAACTTGTTTGAAGTGTACATCGATCTGTATTTATTGTTATATCTCGAATACGATCATAAGCAATTAGAATATGTAATCCAAATAAAGACCACACTAAGAAAACTATACATGTCACTATACGACTTATTTTAATATTACTCAATTTTCGAATTGTTTGATTTAATGAACTAATACAATATCTATCTACTGATGCAAGTGTTATATAAGTTGATGATAAACAAGGAAGTAAAAACATGATATAATTTCCAAATTTACACCAAACTCTTGTTGAATAAATAAAATCAGATAAGGATTTATTAAATGTTGTTATAATTTCCATAAGAATAAATATATTCATTATAAAAAAATCAACAATTGAACTTGATAAGAAATAAAATGAACATGAATTATTTCGAATTTGTTTTTGAATAAATGTTATTATATTTAATATAGATCCAATTATTCCAATAATATAAAGTATAACAATCATATATCTATCCATTTGTAGAAGAATTTCAGATACTTGAATAATATCATTCATTGATATTTTTGTTGTTATTCCTGTCGTGTTTGACATTTTTATTCTATTTTCACTTGATAAACTTAACAATAATGAAACTATTTATATAGTTATTCATTGAAGAAGATCATTTCGGTGCATTTGACTAATAGGTTTATTTATTATAATACTATAAAAGAAATCATTATCAAGGATAGTATCATATGTTTATATCTTTTATCTTCTACGGATTAAAATTTGATAATATTGCGAAGAAAAAAAAATTTTTCTTGTTTGTTCGTCATAAACTTTAAAATAGGTTAGAATAATCATAAATTTCAAACAACTGATTTACAAAAGTGAAATAAATTTATAGTCCATAATAAAGAGTTCTTGACTTTATCTTTAATATTCAATAGAAATATAGACGATTGTCTAATACATTAAAATTGAATAGAATATTCTATTCAATAAATAAGAATATGAAGAAAACAATATTCGAAGATCTAAACATATATCAAGTGACTGGAAATTTAAAAGAGTTTAGATAATGCAATTTAATCATAGCGTTTTATAAAACAAAGCTAAGAGAAATAAGTCTATAATCCAACAAATATGAAAGTTGATATTTATTATAATATATATTTTCATGATATTAGCATTGATATTTATGTAATTCTAATCGAATAAAAGATTATGCATAAAATTCAATTTCATTTTCATCTTGTTTTTCCAAACGATCAAAGCATGAAATTATATGTGTGTCAAAAATTATACTTAAGTTATCATCTGAAACGGCAACTTTACTTAATTTACATGAATAATAAGAATATATTAAATGGGTAAATACATATTAATAAAATTTGAATAATTTTATTTTTATTTCAAATATATAAAAAAACCGCTATCTAAATTAATTCCAATATTAAAATTTAATAGTAGAAGAATAATAAATGTGTCTTGTATTGAATACATGAATGAGTAACTACTATTTTCCTCAACTTGAATTAAACAAGAGTTAAAAATAAATTTGATTAGTTTTATCGTCGAATATGTTTACTACATAGTATGATATTTTCTTATCAGAGAATTTTATCAATTGATTAAAACATTTTCAGCTCATATTATTTCAGTAAATAAGATTTAGTGTTATTACAAAAGTTCCAAAGGTATTTTCTTCCATAAACCTTCCTGATGATATGGCTCATCAAAGTATCCTAAAAATTTCAGAGAAAATTGTTGCTTTCTTTTTGAGACATTCAATCTTGAAGATTAGTCGATTTTCTAAGTAAAGAAGCAAATACTTTTGGAGCTTTTATCATTCCACCAAGTCCTGCTTAATTGAAATATATGAATTAAACAGCTTCGATAAATGCGGTTCTTCAATGGTTATCTACTTCTTTGATAAAACACGTTATAGAAGAGTTTAATGGAAATTATTCCAAATTCGATTTGTTAATTTCGGAAATATTACGTTTGTCATTCTTATATTTTTTAAACATTGTTCTTGAAATTATTATTATACAATTGAAATTGTTATTGTTTAACATAGCATGAATGAGGAATAAAACTTGAAAAAATATCAATAATATAGTGAGATCATTATTCATTACTTAGAAGTTTTAATATATTTGCTATTTATTTAATATCGATAATATGAATCAAAGTTTACTTTGCATAAACAATTATTTTTCTTTTCTATAATCTATTTGTTTATTATTGATAGAAGAATGATACTTTATCAAAGGAAGTTGTGTTAAAAAATGAATCAGTTAAATCTATGATCATTTCGACTACATAAATGCTTATCGAATAAATTCATATTTACTTTGTCGGATTATTTTTCATATTCAAATGTCTAATAAAAAGCTTAATGATAGGAATGAACTATAATAACAGTCATTACCAATCGATACCGTTTCAATACCATATGACTAACATGTGAATTCATTTTATTTTCATATACAAATGGTAAAGATACGAAAAAAGATGAATTTTCATTATGTTATTTTCATAGAATTTTTCGTTTTGATCAATTTTTTATCATAAAATAATGTTAAGTTTATAAATTGTAAAACATATTTTGAATTATTCCGATATGTTAGGTTATAAACAATGAATGCGAGCATCGCTCATACAATTTAAGATTTACTTCTATTTGCCAAACTTTGAACGAATCTATATCAAGAGTTTAAAAAAATAGCACATACTGCATAGATAAGAGTTGTAAATATAGTACGTTACTTTGTGCAACAATATATGTATAGAGTTAAAAGTGATTGATGGTGATATTATTTTAATAATAATCTCTTTTCAATTATATTTAAATGACAAATCATAATGATATTAATTTTATTTAATGTGAAAAATGTATATATATATGTATAGATAAACAAAAATGTAAGATTAAATATTAAATATTAAAAAACAGCTAAAGTCTTTTTTTGTAATACGTGATATTTCGGTATCTATTTCATAGATAGCATCATCAGACGAAAACAACCACCAACATAAACTAATTACACATCGATATCAGAAAACTTCATGTATTTATTTCAAGTTGATTCGTTTTTCTTTCAATGAGTTAACTTATTATATTTATTTTTTGAATGTGGTAATACATTATCTTACACACAATATATTAGGTTATAATAGATCTGATATAGATGTGTGATTAGTTTATGTTGGTGGTTGTTTTCGTCTGATGATGGTATCTGTCAAATAGATACAGAAATATCACGTGTTACAAAAAAGACTTAAGCCGTTTTTAATATTTAATATTTAATTTTATATTACATAATTATCTATTTATTTTATCTAAAAATGTAAGAAATATGTTTAGGAAAAAAAGACAAAAAATAATTAGTATGAGTTGCATTATAATGAGATGTATTCTAAAAATGATTGTATATATATATTATGTCCAAATTTCATTTAAGCATTCGTTGAATTCGATGAAAATCTGTTTGATATAATTGAAGTCGAGAATGATTTCGAAGTAATGATTGTCCTTCAATGACAATAGCTTGTCTATAAGAGTAGAAAGCTTTTGTAAGATTACCAATACTTTCATACATTTGACCAATATTGTTATGTGTATCTGCTAATAGGGTGTCTTCCTGATTAGAAGATCTTTTCAAGTATCTTAACACTTCTTTATAGAGCTCGAGTGCTTTGAGACTATCGCCCATTTTCTTATTGATTTCAGCAATTTCATTAAAAATACGAGCCAATTCTGAAAAGTTTACGGGAAGAGATTTTCCCAATATGTCATGCGCATATTGATAATGTAGAGTTGCTTCTGTATAATTTTCCATTTTTTTATGTACTTTACCAATATTTTTATGTGTATCAGCTATTATTGATCTATCGAGAATAAGACGATGCTGTTGAATTTTAAATACTTTTCGAAAAAATTTCAATGCCTTGCTGTATTCTTCCATAGTGTAATGTATTTCAGCAATACTTTCGTAGGTTATCGATAAATTTAAATAATTAAAAGTCGTTGACTTCTTGTGAATACTCAATTTTTGTTGATAGAACTTTAATGATTCTGGATAATGTCCCAGGTGTTTATGTACCTCAGCCAAGTTACCATACGTAGTTATTAAATCTGAATGATTTAATGGATTAGATTTTATTTGTATATCTAATGCCATTTGATGAAATTTTAATGCTTGTGAATATTCTTGTTTATGAATATATTCTGATCCAATGTCATTGTAAAGTCTAGTCATATTTAAATGATTCGAATTAGGGAAGGAATGATAGATGTTCAAAGCTTTTTCATATAAACTAAATGCTTCTTTATGATCACCTTTATTTTGTTTAACTGATCCCATAAGATGATAACGATGGGCAAGTCCTTCAAAATCATCTTCGGATGAATTCTTAATAAGTATTTCGAAGACTTCTTCGGCTTTATCAAAATTTCCCATATTCAATAACAATTTTCCTAGTCGATCCCAACCTGTTGATTCTTGTGTTGCTTCTCGAATATTTTCCGCAAGTTTCTTTAGATCTTTGTCTTCATCATTTGTCATTGAGAGTTCCACTTGCCATAACTTATGTTTAAGTTTTGTTATTTCACCTATTCGAAATATACTATGCATAGCAAATAAACATTCGTCTTCCGTTTTGTAGTAGCTTTCTTCATTCAACGAAGCGAATAATGCAAATTTAAGAGTGGCAGCATCAATATGTACATGAAAAATAACGCCTTCCAATTCTGGATTTTCTCGATTACTTAGAGCATATGTAAGAGCTACATTTCTATTGGTACTCGTCGATAAGAATTGGTGAAACGAATAAAGACCATTTTTCCGCGAACGTAACTGCTGAAGATCTGCGTAGGATAATCCTTGACCTCGATACAAAATCAATTCTTCAGACGGTTGTTTATACAATTTTTCAATTTGTTTATGCAGTTCTCGTATAAAGAATCTTATTTGTATAATAACATTAATCTCTTTATATCGTAATGCTTGATTAATCATGTCATAAAGAAAGCAACCACGAGTGTACCACCATATAGGTGTATACCTATCGTAATTTAGTTCTAATTCGTCAATGATGTTCATTCTATCTAAGTCGCCAATGTTATTTTTTCGACAAAATTGAATGAATTCTTTCTTTGCTTTACTATCATCTTCCATATCAAGAATAACTTCTTTTAATAATTTTGTATACATAAAAGATGAATCAAGACGATTTAAATCGATACTTTCTATACTAATTGCAATAGATTCACGACGACATTGTTGAGTGTCTTGTTTGAGTTTTTCACAAATTTTATTGATATCAATAAAAATACCTTTAATCTTTGTCCAATATTTTATCCATTGTTTATCTTTTGGCATAGTTTTGCAAAATATAAAGATAGAATCAATTTGAGATAAATTATGAATATCAAACATCATTGATTTATCTAAATCATTAGATAAAATCAAATAGATTGTTTCTTCTTTTTTTTCTTGAAGAAAATTCATGCATTCTTGATAACTTCGAAATAGATTAATTGTTGTATCAACAACTTGTTGAAATTTATTTATCGACTTTTCATAGTCTATTATAGAGTT